AAAACATAAGCCACTCCTCATTTTTCATGTGGTTGGCAGTTCATCACAAACGTCACGCTTTCAAGTGCACGTCCATGAGGATCGATCATAGTCTGAGTACTTAAACCTGGATTAATCACAGTCTTGAGTATCTAAACTTGAATTATTCACAGTCTGGGTATGCAAACTTGGATTAATCACAATCTTATTTGTCTAAACCTGGATTAATCACAGTCTGGGTATCTAAAACTGGATTAATCACAGTAGGTTTTGTTGAGGTCAGGAACCATGTCTAAATTGAACATGCATCATGACCCCAGGGATTACGATGTCTACAACACAAATATACCCATTTTATTAATTATCCGCAAGGATGACAATGAAAATGTTGATAATGGTAAAATAGCGTCTGGTAAACATTTCTCTCATCTCTGTGAACAGTTCAGACTCAGTAAGCTTCTCTAGAACAGAGCTTTTCACATCAAACCACTCTGAAGGACTTCATTTAAACGTTAATGATTTAATCATGCAGAAATTTTGAAAAAGTGGTGGAATTCCCTTTTAATAGGTTAGTAGTCAGTCATCAGAACCGTTTAGAAGTTTCTGATTAGAAAGTAATGAAGTAACTTTTAAAATACAAGAAGTACTGAGTGATTAGGTCCAAGCTTTTTGGACAATATTAAGAGCACCAGTGTATCTTTCTCATTTAATAACTGCTGTTGTGTTGATTTTATTATTATGATGGATAATCTGAGGCTCATTTTGAAGTGACAAAGTGCTTTCATGTATACATGTTTGATTTCTGGTATGTTTGGGATGCTAAAAGTTGGATTTGTCTGTTGAGCTCAACATTCTGTAGCATGTTAAATTCACCAGGAAAATAATTACCATCATTACAGTCATCACTACACTGAGAAATAGCTTTTGTAAAACACAGTGGAACTCTGAACATTACAAAATGCTGTTTATACAGTCTATAATATCATTAAACTGACTGTTTTGGGACTCAATTAAGTATTTAAAGAGATAAATAGAACACTTGGAGTAAATAGAAATTAAGGTAAGAAACCAAGATGTTTATGTTAGCCATTCACCTCTGATGTTCATTATCATGATTAAGTCATGATCAAAGCAAAACATCTGGGTCCCTTTACAGACTCATAATAAAAGGGTTCTAAGACCAGCAATTGTGTAGACACTACTGCTTGCTACTGTATAAGGTGCAAGACATTAGCTTGTTTGTTTATTTTTTTGTTAAAATACTTTTTTGGAGATCTGGAAGGCCAATATACATCCATGTGCAAAAGTTTGAACACCCCTGGTCAAATTATATATTTGGGGAAAAAAGTGAAAATGAATTAAATATGACACTTTGCACAGTTTCTGCTCATTTGCTATGTGCAAAAAAACATAAAATATAAAATGTAAAAAAAAAACAATCAAGTAGAAAAAATGAGAAGCGATCAATATGTTGATAGTGATCATTTGTTATGGTCTGAAGGAACTATCATTCCCAGAGTTTATACAGAAGAACAAAATACCTACAAAATACTATTTTGTATATCTTTGCACTAACAATAAAGAATAATCACATACATATTGCAGAAGGCGGTCCGATCCTGACTACTCTAACACATCAAGGTCCAAACCGATCTGTTGTTTGGTCGATGTCGGCCAATACTGAGGTTACTTAGGATAGGGGGTACTGGCCAAAGCATTGCCAATATATACAAAAGACTTATTTTATGATGTAATGCATTTATGCCTCTCATATTAGGAGAATGACGAAAATGCCTCATTTTTGTGAGGATCTGAATGGTTTCATTTTTAGTTACAGTCCACAAAATCAACCATGAAAGCTTCTGCGGCTCACAAGATTTAAAATGGACCGAGGGGAAGTGGAAAAGTGTCCTGTGGTCTGATGAATCAACATTTGAAATTCTTTTTGGAAATCATGGGCTAAAGACTTACTCAGCTTGTTATCAGTGCACAGTTCAAAAGCCAGTATTCTTGATGGTATAGGGGTGCATTAGTGCACATGGCATGAGTAACATATACATGTTTTGGGAACATATGCTGCCATCCAGAGGCCGTCTTTTTTAGGGAAGGCCTGAAAATTTCAAAATGGGCATATATTTTTCAAAAAACAACAAAATTTCTCAGTTTCATTTCATATGTTGTCTTTGTAGTATTTTCCTTCATAAATATGGTTTGCATGATTTGCACATCATTGCATTCTATTACATTCTGCTCTTCCGCAATAAATTCACCCTGAAATATCAGGTTAAAACGATGCCCATATCTGTCCGATGCTGGTCATATTTTAAACAATTATCTCCTGGTACTGATATGATTAAGGTTGTCATTGTGCATCCCTAGAACTTTGAGCTCCTTTAAGTCGATATCAGTATCAGTGACCAGTTTTAATATCGGTCGAGCCCTGAACACTACTAGGCAACTACAGATTCAGAACTTTACTGGAAGATTGAGCCCAGATAGATCTCTCCATCCTAAAGACTAGGGAGCTGATTTAAGCCTGGAACATAGAAGATGAGATCTGTAGGACTGTAGTGGTGTAAATCTTTAATGTCTTTTATAGAAGCACCATGTTCTTTATGCAGCAGAGAAAAAGAGCCGCATTTGGTTAAAGAGCGAGGGATAAAATCCCCCGTCTCATTTGAAAGCATATCTCAGCACAGCGAAGCTTACACATGCAATGCAAATTACAGTAAAATAAGAGAGCCCAACATAGAAGCCCACGTTCCAAATAACACCTGTGAGCTTTCATACTGTCTTATTTTGTACACTTATTTATTTATTTTCTAAGGCCAGTCTGGTGCAGTTTAACTGTCTAGTTCTCGGTTCTCTCAGTGGTTTCAGAGCACAGGCCTTTAATATGTACATTTCTCTTCCTATTTTTCTACTGGTGTGAATTAATACAAAAGTTCATGTTTAGACAGTCTTTTATTTTACAAGAAAAATTATTAAGCACATTGCATGTACAGTTACAGATGTGACTTCTCTGTCCCATGTAAAAATAAAAAGAACCCAGGAACATTATATTATACATGCAGTACTGTGCAAAGGTCAGAGTGAAAATGACCACTAGGTACAAATGTTCACGTTTCTATAAGTGGAATAAACCACTCACACAAGTAAAATAAGTGAAAATGCAGGAGCAAAATTATCCCATTATCATCAGATATACAGCATTTAAAGTTTTCATCTTCGAGACAGAGGAGAAAATCAAGCTCCTTCAGATCTAAAAAGCTCCACAGGTGTTTCTGTCCATCCTTCCACTATGAGAAGACAACTCAACACTATGAGTCTGAAAGGATGTGTAGCTGTCAAGAAGCCATTACTGAGAAAAGGACATGGACAAAATAGAAGAACATTCAAAACAAAGAAGCTGCTGGTGTTCTCAGAACAATGGACTGACCACCCCAGGGCCCACACCTTAGCGTCATTTATGTGTTTGGGATCACTTGGATTGTGAAAAGCAGAAAATGCAACCAACTTCTAAGACTGAACTTAGGAGGTGAGAAAAAATATCCCTGCAGATTTCTGTGAAAAGTGAGTCTCCCAAACAGAATGGAAGCTGTAATAAAGGCAAAGAGTGGACACACTAAATACTAAAGAAATGAAAGGTCACTGACATTTGCACAGTACTGTATATAGTGGACCTATAAGGTAGGTGTTTGTAATAAAGTGGCTATTGAGCGTACAGTATTATGATCATAGCAAATCAATACTGAGCCAACGTTTGTTTAGATTGCATTCAGTGAGTAATAGTTTATTATGTTTGGGTTCCAAAAGCACTGCAGAGGTAAGACTATCTACACAGCATTGAGATACTGGAAAACTAATCCAGATTTAGAGTCATTCGTACAGATTTCTTCAATAATGAACATTACATATTTGAAAAAAATGTATGAGAATAAAACAAACTGTTAAAAGTATCAGCTGCTAGCCCTTTAACAGGAAAGGTCTTTAAGGTAAAGGACAGTGATCCAGCATCCACCTGATAAATAATTTAACTGATGTTTCATTACCACCCTGGCTGACAGCTAGATAAACACGGACAAGAAAGAAAAGATCATTAAGAAAAGATGATCCCAATGATGTACAACAGGAATGGTCTCAATAGATTGCACAAGCAACAGCCTAGCCTAATCTTTCATAATCATCAGCACTTACACGCAACCAGCAGCTTCAGATACTGATCGATTAAATAAACATTTCAGCATTTTTCAAGCTAATCTCTATTTACCACATCTGTATCACACTGTCACTCACCACTGACAGTAACTTCAGTGCATTTCCCTGTTTTCTAGAAACAGCAGAAAACTCGCTGACTTGAAATTCAGTTATAATAGAGGTCAATGGGCAGTTGCTGAGTTCCGCGAATAATGTGAAATATGAAAACAACATAATTTGGAAAAAAAAACAAAAAAAACCAAAAGCAATTCCGGTCAGTATCCCTAATACTGTGCTTACATTGTGACAGTAAACCTATGGGTCATTCGAAAGAATGTAAAACAATAGTCATATCATTTAGTAGATAATTGGGAGCTCGATATGGTACAGAAAAAGTCTGTAGAGCTTGTATTTCAATTTTAAAACTTTCTAAAGTTTCTTAGAATTTTTAATCCTAATTCTCGTTAAAGTAATCGTCCACAGATGTGTTACTCATTACTATTTATCTTTTTTTTTTGTTTTTGCTTGTCTTTTCTGCTTTTGAGTTTGTATGACTTTTACTGTTGAATGGTGTCCTTGTAAACTGTAGCACAGTGGAACAAGTGAAAAGGAACGCTTCAGTGGCTGTCAATATGTTCTAGTCTTGAGATAAAATTGTAAAACACTATATTTTGCTATTTATAGTGTTCTATATGTATTTATTATTATTATTACATTTTATCTTTAAATCGTTCTGTGTTGTGGTAACGAGAATTTAATCACTTTATTTGGAAAATGTTACTCAAAATCAATTTAAAATCCTCACTGTATGTATATCCAAAAGATAACCTGGGCAATGGAACATTCCAACAACAACTCAGTTTTCACAACATTTGGGAAAATTCACAGTTGACGGTGAAATAAACTATATAAAATATATTAATAAAGATATAAATGAAACTGAATTTTATTCTGAACATATCTTTGAAATGAAAATGAAAACATACGCCGCATACTCCTGACTTTTCTGCACCTTAAATAAAAGCCGACACTGCTAAAGTCTCCTCTGATAATGATCCTTTTTGGCAGGTATTGCTGTCACCATGGCAACATTTCCATGGCTGCATGCCACCATCAGTCGCGTACTGCTGTGTGTCACGGAAAGCCATTTTTTTCCAATACCAATATGTAAACACAACATTATTTTTTCTGGTATCCATGCACCATGATGTGGAGCCTGTAAGACTCCACCCACACCACTATGCCGCCACGGAATTATTTGGATTTATCACCGTTTATGGCTGCCTATAGAACAATAATGTCTGTTATAAGTTTGAAGTGCCCTTGTTTAAGGTAGGGCATGCAAAAATGAAAAGAGATAGAACAGACACAATCGTTAGCTTGATGCTAAAATTACATGGGAATTCCCATTGACAGGCTAATGGAAATTAGCAGCAGAAATGTGAAGAAAAAATGCTACATAAAACCAGTTTCTGGATTAAACGTTGCGATATTTAGTGTAGGTGTGAACAGTTGGCACAGTCATGAGTTTCACTATATGTTCGTTTAAGTTAACGAACGTTCATCCTCAAGCATTCCAAAACGGCATTAACTTTATCCCGCATGCTACTTGTATCGTCCCCAGGACAGCATTAGTATGGATACAGATTTACAACTTCAAATACTTTGCATTGAAGGATTAATGAAAGTCTTCCACATAAACGTTTGCTTATGGAATTCAGCAACTGACTTCTATTGTAAGTGAGTTTCAAGTCATTGAGTTTTCTGTTCTTTTCAGTTCTGAGTACAGGAAAATGCCTCAAATTTATCATCTGTGGTAATCAAGGGTGCGCTACAGATGCGTTAGATACATTACTTTTACAAAATGCTGGAGTATTTCTTTAGCTGAGAAGTTTAACTCAGAAGATTCATGGCACTGTCTTTAGTTTGTTATTGTAGTTTGTGGTCCAGTCAAATTGCACTCTTAAGGCACACTGCAAAAACCACTTTAGAGTATAAAAAAAGTGAACGGATCAGTACAAGGCAAACCTACGAAGCCAAAATAACATCTCTTGGATCATCTATAAGATCAGGCCCACTCTTCACAGCAAATGAATGTACAGCGATGTGGCGACAATCAATAGTAGGACACATTAGGCTAAACACAGCAGGTTCATTGAAGAGAAATGGACAAACCATACATTTTTAATGGTGAGAAAATGAAACCAGAGGCTTTTTTTTTTCTGAAAGGAAGCGAGAGCACCTGTTCTGCTCTCCTCCCTGGCTGATGAAAAATGTGGATTATAGAATCTTCTTCTTCAGTATGAGTGGCCCCACGTTGTCCCCGGTCAATTCGTTGTGCTTTATGTGTGATTTATCACAAACAGGAAACTGCAACAGGAAAGATGACGCTGTATTAGGGGTTGATAGTGATACTGTGACATTATACACTTTATTCAGCAAACTACAAACCCCCCTCCGCAGCTCAGAGTCAGCCGTTTTTATGCTGTACTGAAAAGAGGAAGCCGAAGCCCCAGGGGGCATGTGAAGATATGCAAAACACATCACAGTTTCAATAGGCTACTTCCATTCAAATCCAACTTCCTCCTTTAGAAGGACGCAAACTAACATTTTCCCAGGACGTCAACATACAGTAGTAAGGTTATAAATCTTTTGCTAGTGTGAAATGAGTCACTGAAATTTGCCGGGCTCTTGGCGAATAAGTTTCAGTTTTTGTAACCAGGTTGTCTGGAACTTGTCCAACATTTAAATTAGAGTAAAACAGCAGAGACTAGTATGAGCATGTTTGCATGTACTGCGTATCATGTGCAAAAAGTTATCGGCAACTATGGTGGACTTAACGAAGATCATAGGAAATCTCTGGCTAATTCCTGCAATTTCCTTGGTGATTAGTAAAGTTTCTGTAACACTTTTTTAAAAAATCTTGTGTAAAGGAACCTATAAAATGAATAGCATGTAATAATGCATTCATAAGGAATTATAAACATGGCTATAACTATACAGTACACTATATAGTCATGTATGCATTGTTGTAATGTGTCTTTGCAAGCTTTTATATATATATATATGTATATATATATATATATATATATATATATATATATATAGGTTTATTATTAATACAAAGCGCTTTCTTTAACCACCACTCTTACTTTTTTCCCTTACTAGTTCCAGCATTACCCACCAGAAACCTTTGCTTTGTAAGTAGACTTTGTTTGTCCTATTATGAACATTATGATGACGCTTATTTCTGCAAGCCGTAACAGTTTCTACAAGACAAGTAGTGAGTGTTCAGTATGGGTGAGAGGACTAATAACATTGCAAATCGTGTAAAGGAAATTATTATTATTGTAGCCTCAGAAATACTCAACAGCAATGTAGTGCTCAGTGTTATCTGAGAGGGGGTCTTCTGAAAGGGGCATTTTATGTCTTATTAAGCATTATAAAAGTATTTCAGACTTTAGATTGGCACAGTGCAGTTTTGCCTGGACTATTCAGACAGACCAATGTGCCAGAAGCTAATATGTTGGCCATGAGCTAACATGCTAGCCATAATAATAGGATACAGTATGCTATGCTGTATTATTACACTCCTGGTATGTACTCTACCAATCTGCGTAACACAAACTGGGAATATCATTTATCTATCTGTCTATACAGGCTTAGACTAGACGTATTTATGGCCCACACTTCATGCTTTTCTGCTGCTTCTCACCGTTTTCGAACGCCAACACCTGCAGTAGCAAACGTTTGTGCTTCGTAGGTCTTCTATGTCGATCTCGTTGACCACTTTGGGGTTTTCTTTTTGGATCTTTAGGTTGATGAGGCAGTCTCTCTGCTTCTTCTTCTTGGGCAGGAAGGGTCGGATGGTCAGGTAGCCCAGCAGGGCCAAAATTCCCAACAAAGGCAGGAGACGGAGCCACTCTGAAACTGAACATGCATAAAAAAGTGGTCAGCCTCCAAGGTTTCTCATGGCCTTCTGTGAATTGACATGAAACAAACAACAATGTAGCACAACTGCTTTACCCTATCTTACCTCTGACACATTCAGAGTACTTGTCTTTGTCCTCCTTAACTCTCCAGAGTAGTTATAATGAGTGTACATCCATGTTAGTCATAGTAAAATAGATCAACAGATTTGACTATCGGCAGATATTTGCTTAAAAAATGATCAGCATCATTTGTGTGATATCTCAAACTGACATGACATACAAAAGAGGAAAACCAATTTCTACATTTTATGATAGGCCCACAATTCCTATGTCTGTGTATCTGTATCCATATTCTACTTATAAAGCAAACCAGCCTGTGGTGACAACACCTACACAGTGACACACGGTGGGATCATATTAGCTACCTTTACAGGACAGGCGTGCTGCCAATAACATTCCACAAAGTGGCCTAACCGAATTCAGATGAGGTTCCCAGAAACACGGAGTGATTAAGACTAAAGTTATTACACAGCTTAAGAGAGCAGCTCAGTAAAGAATTACACAATTTCTCCTTAAATGCAGCCAAGACCCGTTTTACTTCTTTAGTTTTGCACTGGAACTGCGAGGCTAATGTATGTTAGCTAACAAGAACAAGCTAATACCCAGTTAGCACTGCAGAAACTGCATGTCTAAAATTGCTTAAACTGCATGAATGTGTCGAGTAATCTCAAATAAACTTGCACTTGTGTTCACTGTGTGGTTTCTGACACTGTATGACATTCTGGATACTTATAGAAAGGGACAAATGTACTTAGCGTAGCTATAAACAGTAGCAGCAGCCATCTTTTATCTACATTTTGCCAATCACAGATATTTTTGCCAAAATTACAGATAACAGGAGGTGCAATAAAAATGATGTAAGTTTTATTTTTTTTGTCAAACCATTCCTTCCAAAGCCTGTAACAACTGATCAAAATAACTTGTATTAGTTATCTTAAACCCAGGGCCGTCGAAAAGCTAAGTGTCCACTGGTACCAGACTGTACCAAGTGGTGCAGAAAAAGTAGCTTCAGGTGAATTCTCATGGCAATAATGTGATTTAGTGAGCAAAAAAGTAGGCCATATGCTTAATTAAACAATCCTAAGCCAATTACATGCTAACTTGAAAGAGTTATGGCCACAGAGCGCAATCCCAGACGAATCTCATGAATGTAATGGAGTGTGAATCATCTTTTAAGCCAGATTAAATCTGTACTAAAGATTCCTTCACTGGTGATTGATGATGTGACACAGCTGTGGGTTGAAACAGAGGTAAAGTACGCCTGAATGTGAGCCACTTCAAAGCAGTGGCAAAGTCTACTGAGGGATGAATGCAGCTTTACATTCCCTGCTACAATTACGCCTATACACTAGCACTCTTCTCCTTCTCCTCCACAAAACACAGGCTGCATGGATGACCTGAGGGAGGGGTGCAACCTGCATTCTATAACCTCTCCCCACACTGTATTGTGGGCTTTTTCACAAATATAGGCATGCTAACAGTCACGAGATGTGCTCTGCCAAGTCTTTAAGGGGAAGTCCACCAGTTTTTCAAAAAATTCAGCACGGGTTGCTTATAAGAAGTAACCAAAGTCTGATTGTTTTGATGAAAAATCTGGCATTTTTGAGAAATGTATAAAAGCTAGAATTGTGCATAATAGTATCCCTGATCCCTGGTTCCTTTCAAGATTATAAAGAAGTTGTTAAATCTCTCTAGAATTAATCATTTTTCTTCAAAACACTCTCTTACTTCTCAGTTAACTAATTATGCTGAAAATTTTGAAAAAAAAAATGGTGTTATTGCCCTTTATGTATGTAAATACATGGACAGGCATCAAACTAGAAGCTGTGTCTTGCCTTGTCACCTCTTCTGCGGGTGTTGCAGGAAGCTCTAACCCAGTAAGAGGTTATTACTAGTGCAGAACTATGTAAGCAAGCATGAACTCCCAAAAATACAGAGCAGTGCATAATAATACACATTGATTAAAAATGCTTAATTGAGCAGATGAGTGCTGCACCATGTGATTACCCCGTGCTTCACAGAATAGATGGACTGCAGAGAAGTTTGAAAGTAACGTAGGTTATAGTACTTGCTAGTGCATAATTGACTGTATTTACTTGACTTGTGCATATCTGATAGTCTGTATTGTTTACTGCATATTTGATTGTGTACAACAGAGCTGCCAAGAAATGAGGTTCTTTGAATACTGATGCTGTTATTTCTTGCCCTTGTTTAAAACACTCCTTCTTACATTCCAACCTCCCTTAAGTTCCACTATATTAGATGCAGCACTGAAACTTTTGCTCCACTCTCTAAAACAGAAAGATGGTAAAGCAGGTAAAGCAGCAGCAGCACAGAGCAGAGCAGCCTGATGAACACACGTCCACATTTTTTACCTGTGAGTCTCGCAAATCCTCCGATCGTTTCTGGCAGCGGCAGCTTCTTGAGGTAGGCTGGCAGTTGCACTTTGATAATTCTCGAAATAGTTTCCAGCACCATCTTGAATGACTTTGCGGGCACTTTTTCATTCGCACTAGGCAAGATGTTTCCTTATGCCGTCCTACGTCACGGCGCGAGTGGAGGAGTGCAGGTTTTTACGTAGTTGCTTTTGGAGGTCTACGGGGGCACTGGCGTACAAAACGATAGTGAATTCGCGCAAGTGGACAAGGCGGTTCGAAAACACCGTCAGCCAATCAGCGTAGGCAGAGTTGGTGGGTTCCGATTGGCTAATTTCGCTGGCAAGCCCCGCCCGCTAGAAAGAGTGGTAGTGTGTCTTTAAAACAACGGTTTGACAGTATTAATAAATAATAATTGTACTTTGTGCTACATTTTTCTCTAATCGCATAAATTAATTCATTAAGTAAATAAATCAATAAAGAAAATTGACATTGACAATTTTAAAGACAAAATTCTTGTTTTTTCATGAGCTTCCATCAGAATACAATGGCTTTCGCAAGCCTCCAAAACATTTTTTGAGTTTTGGTTATGTTACTGTGCACCAGCAAGTGGGGAAAAATAATAGTGTATTAATAGTACAATAATATCATGCCAGCCCCACTTATCATCAAGCTCAGAAACTTAGTTAATAGTTAAATGTTTCTCTTTTCAGAGTGCAAGCATTTGACTGTATTTTGCATCTTTGCATCAAAATTCATAGAGTTAAATGTCTGTGTGGAAATTCAAACAGTTGCTGCCATTTTAACCATGTCGGCCGGATTCTAATACAGAGTATTCATTCTACAGCTTCTATATGTCCCATAGCAAATCTACACAGCATCTTTTTAGATGTCTTTAGGATTCAAGGGGACTGATGTATCAACTGCACAGGGCTCAAGGCAAACAATTTATTTATTTTTTATTCATAATAATAATAATAATAATAATAATAATAATAATAATAATAATAATAATTGTTATTGTTGTTGTAGTTACGAGAAGGGTTTTTTTTCCTTTTCATTCGAACTGCGGGTTAATGAAACTACATTACCCACAATTCCTTGCATTTTCGGCCCCATGAAAGATCGCCTGTATGACGGCTTACTTTGTGTTATTTACAACTCATATTAATTTTTAAAGCCCAGTTAAGAGAATAAATGATTTTATTGTAATCTTTGTCAGAGATAAATTATTAAAAATCCGTTCCATGTACTTTAGCACATTAACGTACATCAATAACAGGCAGATATTTGAGCGCTACAGTCAGTGACGTTTCTGCCCGTGTCATTGGTGAATGACCGAAGATGGCGAGCAGCAGATTGTTCGCCAGGCTGCTCTGTAAGTTCATTTTTTATTAAGTACACGTTTTCTTGCACTTATTTAGAAGACCTCCGCAATGCTGTTAGGGCGAAGCCATGCAGCAGAAGCTGAGTTTAGCTCAGACGGACAGCTGTTAGCCTGTATTGCAGCACTAAAGCCAGTCTGGCTGAAGCAGGGAGGCCACCGTGAACTACTGAACTCTGAGCTCAGCTGTCAGGGAGACTTGAGCCTTTGCTCTACTGAGGATTTCACTCTATTTTCTTCATAATTATGGCCATACAAAGTGAAAAAAAGTTTTGCATGCTTGTTATAAGGGCAGTTAGTTGAGGTGGGTAGTTTGTAGTTAGTTATATTTACTCGGCTCCATGTTCTTCAGCACATTTTTCTTTAAAGTCTGGAGTATTTTCAGATGCTAAAACATGTACTCGAGTATATTCACTCGGTTCCTTTTTTCTGATTGCTTGTGTGATTAATGTCCTTCGGTGTTTTTGGTTTAGCTCTTGAATTGCTTTGCTGTGGCTCACACCTCTCACTTTGGAGCTTTAGCATTTTATTTTACACCAACATGAGCCTAAAAGAGAAGAATAGAGTCTAACAACCTAAAGGGGAATTCAGTAGACTTTTACAAAATCCCAGGATAATTCAGTGTTTGTGAAGTAAACAGAGTCAGTGGTTTGATGTCAAATGGTTCATTGTAGAGAAACTTGCTGGCTCAGATTTAGAGTGGTGGTGAAAGGAACCGTGCATGTATGAACCATGCACCACCTGCATGTACCTTTCCTCCCAGCATGCACTTAAAAAAAATATGTAGACCAAAAGTTTGTTGCAAAACTCTTATAAAACAATGTCTCAAGCAACAGGCAACCAGCTCAACTTTCTGAAAGGGAGCTTTTAGGGGTGTTTAACTTCGACGTCTGGTTCCTGTGAACAGTTCTGACTCGGATCAGTGTCTCTAGAACAGAGCATTTCACACCAAACCACTCTGAATGTCTTTGTTTACAATTTAACCTTGAATATATGACATGTATATGTGTGTGTGTATATTAATTATTACATGACACTCTTTGTTCCTGATAACTACTCCAGTGTTGTGCAACTTTGGACTATGCTTTTGTCAATGCTGGAATGTCCACTAAACTGAACTCAGCCATATTGACTAACTTCCCTTTGCTTTTGTCTGTGAGGGGGATTACGGTTAACTTTGTTGGCCTAACTGTAGTTTTTACTGAACTTTTACTCGAATGGTGCTTTCTGGCCTAATACTAGCATTTAATCTGTTATTTGCCATGTTGTGTGGTACTCTGTAGTGTAATTTTGGATCCTTCAGCCTCATCAGTTTGACAGAATTCACAATTTCCTATCCTTTTTTGTTCTCAGACATTGTTTTCCCACTACAATACCCAGCATGCATTACACAAATACCTCGTACATCCAGTAGGAACCCCCACTACTATAAGGAATCCTGACTGCTAGTGTAGCCACTGATGTAGAAGCTAATAAATACTGACATGATATTAAGCTTCATAGCAGTAGTGTGTTAGCCTTTTGCATTAGCCAGCCAGCAGTAAAAAAAAAAACAACATTTCTTATAGCCCATCCTCAAGTCTCTGCCTCGAAGGAGGTGTAGTTGTTCAGAAATTCCTTCCACCTTCAAGATATATCATTAGGAAAGAGGTTTTCCTGGTCTTTAAATCAGAAAATCTCACTCTAGATAAGTCTTAAAGACAGAGTAACAAATGCAGCCTGTTAAATTCCAAGTTTAGAAAATGGTCATGGTTTATTTGTTTTTGGTCAGTAAGCCCCACATATGTCAAAAGTGGCCCTCAGAGATAAAACATTAAAACAGAAGAGCATGTAAAAATGAACTAATTTTAGCTGAAAATCTGTGTTATATATATTAAATGTGATTTGTGAGAGTTCTGATATGTGGTATTCACACTATGAACACATGTTGGTGCTGTTACTCCATGCATTGCTTGGCCTTTTAGTTTCTCACTCACATTCTAACTTCAGTTCGGTGTTATTCAAAAAGAGACCACTTTTACAAAAGCCTTGTTCAACCCACATATGAAGAATTGTCATTTCAGAAGCCCAGGCAACAGCTGAACCTCCAGTCATGTTCTCTCTTGCTTGTTTTGCTCTGCCTTCATGCTTTTGCATTGACTAAATACTCAAGGCCCAAAGTTGCTTAGTCCACAAAGGAACTTTTAGCCCACCTGTCTTTGTTAATGCCATGCAGGGTTAAATTGTATTAGAAAGACAAGGGCTTTACTTAGAGCAGCAGAATGACCCCTGCTTTACTGAGCTGATGGAAAAATTATCTTTAAGATACAGAGTAGCCTTTATCCTGCGGTGTGTCTCTGAGGTCTGATATGAGCTTTAATCTCGGGTTCTAATTCTACCCCCCCATCCCATGTGTTTCCAGTGCAGCAGGCTGGGGTCCGACACTGTTACACCGGATCAAGGAAGAATCTCTACATCGGCAAGGACACTAAGGTTATTTGCCAAGGCTTCACAGGAAAACAGGTTGGTGTTCCACACATCATTGTCCACATCGTCTACCTGCTTCTGCTGATATAAAGCAGTGTTTGTCAGGCTGTTTTTCAGTTGTACGTTATGTTTGGTAGGCATGTGTAGTAGAGACCACCTGTTCAGTTAACTGTGTTTTAGGGAGTCGAAGGTTGTCACAGATTTGATCAGGAAATATTTTTTTCCTTTTGCTGTAACTTGAAGCTTGTCTGTTGAAGCTTAATCTCTGTAGGATAGTAGAACATAATGAAGCGCAGTAAAATACGTGGTTGTAGTTTGGCCACAAAATGTTAATTAATCTTGTAATTTAATCTTAAACTTTACTGTCTGAGTGTTTGTGGCTGCTTAGTTTAGCCTGATTCCTTCTATTTTGAAGCCATTTCACCTGAAACGCACTGCTTCTCCTGGTATACAAGAGCTGGGACACGGTTTTCTGAAGCTGTGTTCTTTGATGTGTGAAACTTGACACTGTGGTCTCAGGGTGTTCTAAAACAGTGGCCTTGGTGGTCCTGCTATGGGGAACAGTTGACTATGTTTGTTTAACTACAAAAATAAGTTGTAAACAATTGTGTAGCCAACTGTAGCCAACAATTGTGTTTAACCAACCATAATTTAAAAAATGATGAAGATGGTTATTTGCAAAAATAAAATATGTTAAATTTATATTGACCCCACTGGCCCATATTTATCAGGCATTTCCAAGTAAGCACACTGATCTAAGTGTGTTTAGTGTAAACAAACCCCAGATCAGCATTCCTACTGTGAGGAGTTTGATCAATATGGGCCATTGATTGTTGTAGCAAGATGCACTTTTTCAGTGCAAGTCAATGTAAAACATTTCACCTTTTAGTCGTTTAGAACTCATCCATCATGAATAAACTGTTAAAGGTCTTTCAGAAGGAAAGATTCTGAGGCTCTTCTGAAGTGAAGCAAAGTGGTGCTGTATGTCAGCCTGAGAAAACCCTTTTCAAAAGGAGCTTTAAAACCATTTTACACCGTCAGTTGGAGACTAAGCAAATATGTATCTGAACCTGTCGAATTGAGCCAGAACTCAGTTTGCAGCTTTTCTCTTTTTAGCCTAATAATATCTGGCTGCAGAGCCGCAGAGCCGCAGAGCAGCAGTTTCTTGCCAGCAGTTTCACTCCAGCAGGTTCAAGACAGTGGCATTCAGTGCATGCGCCAGAACTTGTTTTGGTTTTACTGAGCGAGTTTAGGCTAATCAACATTTCAGTCGTATTATTTGAGTTTACAATAAATAATGATACATTTGTATTGGATTAGGATTATATTTTAAGATTTAGGCTGAAACAAACTTTGGTTTAAACGCGTTTAGTG